AAAATATTAGCGTTTCAACCCCGAGGCAGAGCTGGCTCCCAGCTTGCAGTATGAGAATACAGCCCATGGGGAAACTGAGGTTACTCGTACAGGTTTGGAGAATGGGGGTTGTGGCTGAAGATGCAGTGCTAAAACGGCAGTCTGGACACTGAGGAAGAGGTTGGGTGTGTCCCCCGAGAAGCGCAAGTTAGGCACCGTTGTCCAGACACATAGCCTTGTTTCTAATGCAACTAATTGTAACTTTAAGTGTGAGCTTCTAAAAAAGCTCCCCCACCCCAATTTCAGGAAAGAGAACTCAGACCATCTCAAACACAAGGAGTTATCCAAGCAAACACAGCTAGTTCTTGGTAGGTTTTATTTGACTTTGTGTGTGTGTGTGTGTGTGTGTGTGTGTGTGTGTGTGTGTGTGTATACATGCGTGCGTGTGTCTGTTTTTGTGTCTGTCTGATTTTACCTACATGTATATCTGTGTACCATATGTATGCCTGGTACCCATAGAGGCCAGAAGAGGGCATTCGATGCCCCAGAACTGAAGTTATAAGTGATTGTGAGTCACCACCATATGGGTGCTGGAATCAAACCCAGGTCCTCCGGAAAATCAGTAAGTGTTCTTAAGCACTGAGCCATCTCTCCAGCCCTATTGGAAAGTTTGAGGTGCAAAACTAGCTTAGCATAGTTAATAGCAATTGAGACACCTGCAAAGTTGGAGGTAACAATGCCAGTCAGTGTCTAAGTGCCATGGACAACAACTAACAAGGTCAGAATCAGACATGGATGAAGAGGAGGCTTCTGTCACCCCTACTGAAGGAACAGTACATGATCAGGTCCTTGGGTGGACCAGGAGGACATGCACCGAGCGTCTCTGCCCATGATGACACAGAGACCAAACCACACAGTTACCTCAGCCGTTTGCCAGTTTCTGCTGTAGCCCTCTAAGAATTGCTGGACCAGGAAGTTCAATGGCCTCTTACTTCTGTGAGGGCCCCTCCCACTCTTGAAAGTTTCTCACTTTTCCTGGACTTCCCACTTTCTGTAACTCTAATAAAGTCTGCTTCTGCTTTTCAGACTCCCATAAGGATCTGAGTCTTCACTGGCATGAGACCGCAAACCCAGAACACTGTCTCAGATTGATCCTTGAGGTTGATGGGTGTCCAGCACCATAGGTATTTGGTTACCTAGAACTGGGCTATAAAATGTCTCATCACACTCAAAAATCACACATCAAAACCCAAAAATATATAAAAGTGATTATATATCCCTGTCAAACCAAATTTTACTCTAGGAAGCAAGGATAAACATTAAAATTCATCAGTCCACATGTGACTATATTAATCAGGTCATAGAAATGACATGGCAAATATAGCACATATTCATGATGGAAATTCCTGAGCATTTTAGAAGTCCGATAAAGAGACACCGTGAGAACCCTACAACTAACATAATAACTAAAGAGAAATAATAGGCATAAAAACAGGAAAGGAGGAAGCAAAACTGATCTTATTTGCAGATTATAAGTTTGAAATTACAAATTCAAGAATCTAAATACAAATAAAAGTCTACCCAAAGCAAAAGACTTAGTACGTGGGGTAGTAAGCGCATGGCCAGCACACACAAAGCCCTTTACCATGTGAAACCAGACAAGGTTGTGCGTGCCGGTAATTCTGGCACTTGGGAAGTAGAAGCAGCAGGGTCAGAAGTTCAAGGTCATCCTTAACTTAAGGGTAACTTAAGGATATAACTTAATATAGTGAGTTCAAGTCTAGCCCTGAGCTACATGAGACCCTACCCAAAAAGGAAGGTAGAAAGAGAGGGAGGAAGGAAGGGAAAGAGGGAACCGGGGGGAAGGGGGAAGGGAAGGAAGAAGGAAAAGAGAAAATTAATTTGGATAATCAATAGAGTAAATGCAGATCTATATACTGAAAATTTAAAATATTGATATGAAACACCAAAGTACAGCAAAATCAGCGAAGGAAAATGTGTTCACAAGCTAAATGACAGCAGAGGAAAGATGTCATGTGTTCACTAGCCTGGCAGGCAGGTCTAATCCACTCACTATCAAGGTGAGGACACTAGGCTTGGTGGCAGTTTATTCACTGAGCGTCTCACCAGCCTAGAAGTGATTTAGTTTTTTATTGCTATTTTTTTTAACTTTCTGCTACAGTTTTAAGTTCACAATAAATTGAAAGTGTGGAGATTTCCCTCCTGCCCCCAAACACTCCTAGCCTCGCTCATTAGCAACACCCCCACCAGAAGAGTACATCTGTTATAAGAAGCCAACAAACTGACAGCAAAAAATTCCTTTGTCCTCAGCTAAGGTGTGCACACAGGTAATCCCAGCACTCAGGAGGGAGAGGCTAGAGGAGTGCAAGTTCAAATCCATCCTGGGCCACGTACTACTCCCTCCTCAACCCCCTAAAAAAGCCTACATCTCTGACATTTACTTTATTTACTTTCTCCATAGTGTTTTTGTTTGGTTTTGTTTTTGTTTTCTAGACCGCTACACAGTGGAAGCACACAGCGTGAAGCCTTTCAGGATGCTTTCTTTCCTTGAGTCATGTGCATGCAAGTTCTTCCAAGTGTTCTCATGCCTTACACACTTTAACACCACATAAAATCCCACTTGAGGGACATACCACAGTCTATTGCAACCCTCCTATGCTGAAGGACATCTTGGTTGCTTGCAATTTGGGCAGTTAGGAAGAAGCTTCTAAAATCCGCATGCTTGGGGTTTTACAGGGATGAAAGTTTTCTATTCCTTTATGAGCACTCAAAGGAGGATCTGGACACCAAGAGGACCTGAGTTCAAGGTCCTGAGTTCAAGGTTAGCTACACGCTGAGACAGATCTCAAAGGGCAAACATGCCCACAACTAGTGTGGTGATTTACACCTGTGATCCTAGCACTGGAGAGGAGGAGGCAGGAAGAGGATCAGAAGTTCAAGTTCACCCTCAACAACAGAGTGAGTTTAAGTGTAGCCTTGTGTCTGTGCATGAGCATGCAAATACCACACACACACATCACATGCTCACATGCACATACATGTTTACGCCATATATACACACACATGCATGCATTTGCAACACACACTCACACAGATTCACATACACATGCATACACCACATATGCATGCAAGCATCACACACACCACATGCTCACATGAACACACATGAGCGTGCACACCACATACTCACATGCACACACATGTATACAACATACATACACACATACGCATGCATTTGCCACATATACACCACACAGATTCACACACACATGCATACACCACACACACCACATATTCACATGCTCCTATACATGTACACCACTTATGCACATATATATGCATACAATACACACGTATACATCACATACGTATGCATATACTTGTAAGCAGAGTTTCTCTGTGTTTCAGTGGCTGCTCCTGAATAACCATTTAGAGATTTGTTATTAATTATAAATTCTAGGCCGATAGTTTAGGCTTGTTACTAGCTAACGCTTACATTTTAAATTAGCCCATATTTCTTATCCTCCCTCTGTCACATGGCAGTACCTTCTTTCAACACAGCACATTCATTGTGCTCCTCTCTGCATCTACCCATGACTCCTAAGACTCTGCCCTTCTTCCCAGCATTCTCCCTGCTCAGAAAATCCTGCCTAGCTATCAGCCAATCAGCTTTTTATTAACAACAATGCTCACAGTATATAGAAGGATTATTCCACAGCGCACACACATTATACAGACTCACAACACACAACACATATATATACTTACATCACACATATACACACATGCACACACATGTATACACATATATACACATGCAAATACTACACACAAACATACACCACATACAGACTCTTATACACATGCATATACTACACACACATACATACATCACACACACACACACACAGTTTTTTAAAAAGAAGGAAAGAGCTACTTGTCCATCTGTATCCATAGCCACATTATTCAAATAGCCAAAAGGTAGAGAGACACCGATGGAAACGGGCAGTCTATGCAGTCTCTGGGCTATTATTCAGCTTTTAAAAGGGAACTCTGGGGGGCTGGAGAGATGGCTCAGAGGTTAAGAGCACTGCCTGCTCTTTCAAAGGTCCTGAGTTCAATTTCCAGCAACCACATGGTGGCTCACAACCATCTGTAATGGGGTCTGGTGCCCTCTTCTGGCCTGCAGACAGAATATTGTATACATAATGAATAAATAAATAAATAATAAATAAATAAATAAGGGAACTCTGGCCAGGTGGCGGCGGCGCACTCCTTTAATCCCAGCACTCGGGAGGCAGAGACAGGTGGATCTCTGTGAGTTCCAGGCCAGCCTGGTCCGGTCTACAAGAGCTAGTTCCAGGACAGGCCCCAAAGCTACACTGAGAAACCCTGTCTCTGGGGGTAGGGAGAAATAAAGAGGGGAACCCTGACACATGCTACAAATGAACCTGGAATAAACCAGTCACTACAACATAGGTTTTGTCTGGGTTTTCCAGAATGGGCGGGGGGGGGGGGGGGTCCCCGCATATATAAATTTGAATGCATTGAGACAAAAGTTTTCAGGACTGAAGAGAGAAACAAAAATTTTCTATTTAATGGGTAGAAATTTCCAGCTTTGCAAGATGAAAATGTTATGGAGATGGAAGGTGAGAATTGCACAACGTAAGTACCTTTCTATCTAGTTTAAAATAATGACTTTGTGTCAAAATTTTACCATGATTTTTAAAATAAGTCTTAAAATTTTGTTGCCAACACAAAACCCCAAAATACAGGCCTCCTTGTAGTGTTGTCAAGGGAGATCATTTACATGTTCTCCCTGGAACTGAGTGAGACACCTGGAAACCTGAAATTCTAACGCCCCCTTCCCACACCCCGCCGTGACAGACATTACTAATCCATCCCAGATCCTTATCCCATTTGCCCGGCACCTGGTATCTGCCCTGTTGACTCTAATAGTGACCTGGAAATCCTGATAAAGAGAGCTAAGGACACGGGGGTAGCAGACCTGATCACTCTTTTATTGGTAGTGTTATGCATTGCTGCACTTTGCATGCCTGTGAGCCCAGGGAAATTTCAAGTTGAATATTCAGTCGGTTTTCTTTGATCTCATAGTCGCCCTGGATAAAGCCACGAGTGTGACAACTATGCCAACGCCAATAAACCTGGATGATGCGGACAGCATTTAGTAAGCGACAGTACCGTCGGCGGATGCGCCACATCCGGAACCATGACTGCAGTTTGACAACCGCCCTTGTTTTTTTAGCATACACCTTCAGAGCCGCCTGCAGTCTCTTCTCCCTCTCTCTCACCAGTATCTTTCTCCACCAGGACTGAATGATCCACGCATTGAGGGCGGCGAACAGCAGCGAGCGTCGCAGCAGCGTGCCACGCCACCATGCTTGGATGAGCACAGCTGCGGATGTTTTTGTCATGGCGGTAGCTTCTTCTGGGCCTTGCAAGAGAGAAAAGACCGCTTAGGACGCGTAGGAAGGTACCAGACAGGAATCCTGACCTTCCATTAAGGTGGTGCAGGACCCGGCAAAGCTACAGCTGTACCCAGGTGACCAACTAGGTTGGCCTACCTTTGGTATATGCTGATTTGTCAGCATGAATACATCAACCTGATCCCTGAGTGCCTGGGCATGTGCCTATCAGTAAAACGGGGGCACATCTGTTCTAGCTACCTCACCCAATTTCTTATGGGTTATCTGTCCCGTTGGTCAGTCTGGAGCAAGACACCATGATTTGGAAGTGAAATGGTTTTAAGGTTCACTTGGGCGGTTAAGAGCACAGGCAACTCTTCCAGAGGTCCTAAGTTCAAATCCCAGCAACCACATGGTGGCTCACAACTATCTATAATGGGATCTGATGCTCCCCTCTTCTGGCATGCAGGTGTTCATGCAGAGAAAGCAAGAGCACCATATACATAAAATAAATAAATCTTAAAAAAAAAATTCACTTGGGCAGGACCACCTCTCTGGGATTCAGAACCTTCTGTTCAACAATCTACCAGAGTAAAGTCACCCACCCATGTTATCAACAGCTTAAACATCAGTTAGCACATACATCACTGCAAACATACACGGCTGCACATACAACACACATAACAGGTTTAGAATATGCTTCATCTCTGTAATAATAATTTATTTTTAAGATTTATTTTATGTGTATGAGTACTCTATCTGCATGTATGCCTGCATGCCAGAAAAGGGCATCAGATCCCATTTTAGATGGTGTGAGCCACATGTGGTTTCTGGGAATTGAACTCATGACCTCTGGAAAAGACCTCTTAACTGCTGAATCCTTTCCAGCCCAATGATTTTTTTTTGAGACTCTCTCTCATTCAATAGCCCAAACTAATCTGAAACTCACTATGTAGCCCAGGCTAGCTCAGATTCATAGCCGTTTGTCGACCTCTGCCTCCCAGACACTTGGATTGCTCATGGCCTGTTGTGATCAATATTAAAATTCTCTTTCTGTATCTGGGAGGAAAACAGGAGAGAACATAAGAATGCCGTTCCTGGTTCCCAGTCAGCAAGACCCCACTCCTGGACTTTCTTTCTTGTTTGCTTACTTGTGACAGGGCCTTACTATGTAGCTCTGGCTGTCCAATAACAGGCTGACCTTGAATTCACAGAGATCCTCCTGCCTCTGCCTCCCTGAGTGCTGGGATTAAAACTGTGGGCCACCACACCCAGCTATTTCTGGCCTTTCTGATAATACTGGACGTGGAGGGGGAGTCGCCTCCTACGGTAACTAGGAGACCTTACTCTACCCTATCAAATGTATCCAACCTTTAGACTTGTGAATGACATTACCACCTACAAAGGTCACATGAAAAAACCCAAAGTGGGGCTGGGGAGATGGCTTAGAGGTAAGAGCACTGTCTGCCTTCCAAAGGTCCTGAGTTCAATCCCAGCAACCACATGGTGGCTCACAACCATCTGTAATGAGATCTGGTGTTCTCTTCTGGCCTGCAGGCATACATGCAGGCAGAATACTGTATACAGAATAAATAAATAAATCTTAAAAAAAAGAAAAAACCCACAGTGAAGTTACAAAACAAAAACAATCACACACATAAATCCCATAACATTTTAAGGCAGTTCACAGCTTTGTACTGGGCCCCACTCATAGCTGTCCTCATCTGCATGCTGCCTGTGGGAGGGGTCGAACACACCTGGATAAGCCAGTCTCTTATAAGCATTCAATGCACTGATTTAGGCAGGCATGGTTTGTTGCGGAGTATTATCTTCAGGTGTGTTCCTTTTGTTTATGTTGCATTTGTTGAACTCTGTGAAGCTGTGATTCTTTGCCTGTCTAAAACACCTGATGGTCTAGTAAAGCGCTGAACGGCCAATAGTGAGGCAGGAGCAAGGATAGGCGGGGCCAGCAGGCAGAGAGGATACACAGAAGGAGAAGCACAAAGGAGAATGAGAACGAGGAGAGGAGGCCACCGGGGACCAGTCACCCAGACACACACAGCAAACTACGGAGAAAGAAGGAAGGAAGGGTATACAGAAATAGAGAAGATAAAAGCCCAGAGGCAAGAGGTAGTCAGGATAATTTAAGAAAAGATGGCAAGAAACAAGCCAAGGCTGGGCATTCACAACTAAGAATAAGCCTCCGTGTGTACTTATTTGGAAGCTGGGTGGTGCCCCCCCCAACTCCAAAAGAGTGAAAAACATCACATAACAATGGCTGAATCCCCCTCAGAGCTACATTCTACTAGTTTACCCATAGTTAGGGGCTAGATGTTTCCATCGCCCTCCGGTCTGCTCTCCTCCAGCTCTGGTCCCGCAGAGAAAGTTGATAGCAGAGAGTGATGAGGTCACAAAGGCACCAATGACACAATGACCAGGGTGGCTTCCGACAGCCAATATTCTCAACCCCTGTGTGATGAGTCGCTGGCTAGGAAGGGAGGACTCACCACACACTACAAATCCACATAACCCATCTTTTTATACCACTCCAATCACTTCCCACAGGAAGTTCTCACACCTTCACAAGCATCTTTCGGGATCTGGAAAGATGATTCAGTGGTTAAGAGCATTGGCTTCTCTCCTAGAAGAGCTGGGTTTAATTCCCAGCACCCAAACTCCAGTTTCAGAGAATCCTAAGCCCTCTTCTGGCTACATATATGTGGTGCACAGACATACATGCAGTCAAATATTCATAGACACAAAATAATAAAAATTCTTTAAAAATTTATTTATTTTTAGTGGGTACCAGGATGGGGGCATCGTTTCTTCTGTTATCACAGTTTATCAGTGTAAAATTAGTGTTGTCAATACAACAGGATCTAGAATCATCTGGGAGAAGGGTCACTGGGTGCTGTCTTAATTTAGGGCAGAATCATTCCCTAGGCAGAGGATCCTTGGCAGTACTAGTGAGTAAAGGGAACGAGCAGCAGCTGCCTTAACTCAGTATGTCTTGATTTTAGACGCAATGTGACCAGCTGCTTCAGGCTCCCGCTGCCCTGGTTTCTTTGTCGTGCCTTGAGCTGGAACCACAATAATCTCTTTCCCCCTTAGGTGGCTTTTTCCAGAGTATTTTATCACAGCCCCAAAAGGAAAAGGGGCTGGAGAGATGGCTCTGTGGTTAAAAGAACTGGCTGCTCTTCCAGGTGATCCAGGTTCAATTCCTAGCACCCACATGGTGACTCACAACTGTCTGCAAATCCAGTTTATGGGAATCCAACACCCTCTTCTGGCCTCCAAGGGCACTCTATGCAGGTAGTGTCCAGACACACACGTAAGCAAAACACCCATATATACAAAGTAATAAAGAAATCTAAAGAAACTAAGATAGATCAATATTAGCAGGTAAAGCAAAGCACCATCTTCCGGGCTTGCAGAAAAGCGGTGTTCAGAAAGTCTGGAAATGTTCAGTGCATATCTTACCACAGCAGAATTTTTCAAAAACCAAAATGTGAAAATGAGATTGCAAAGAAAATGAATTTCCAACTTGTTCCTTTGCTAACCAAACAAGGAAAGCGCTTGCCGGGAGGGGCTTTAATTCAATCAGCCTGATTGCAGCAGCTGAAGAAACGTGTCCAGAGAAAACAAACAGTATCAGCTTGTCAATTAAAACGGCTGCTCAGAGAATGGAAGACATTAAGGGGGTAACACCAATAGTCAATTTTAAAACAAGGAGAATGTTTCCAAGGGGTTTTCTTTGGCTCTTAATGAGCTGACAGACATGCCAGTATAGACCAGCTGCTGCCCCTGACAGGACAGACACAGCTTGAAGTGGCTGAGAATGAGCTATAAATAGAGTGTGTGAAACAATAAGAGGAGATCTGTTGAAGAAGGGAAAGAAAAACCAAAACTCAACACCACTTGACGCGGACTCTTCCTAGAAGTGATAAGCCTGAGAGCAACGAAAATCGGAGTGGAAGGCTGTGGAAGGCTTAATGGGACAAGCTTATCAAACGAAAGGCTTGGGCTGAGGCTCAGAGACAAAATACTTGCCTCACATGTGCAAGGCCCTGGGGATTTGATCTCAGCATCACAAACAAAAGCGTGTGGTGCTTAAAGCCTGTGGCTTCTCACTGTATCCGTATCCATTATAGGTGAGTTATAGAAAACCATGGAATTGCATGCCACTAGGAAACTACTTAGCATTAATTCCATGAATGTCTGTCAAAATCAAAGCTGAATAAGCTGCCTTGCCCAACCATCCTGGGGTTCCATGGCTTAGCAGTGAGAACATTTAACTGAAACAAGATTCAAGATTTCTGAATGAGAAAAACCACTTGCGGCTACTAGTATCAAACACTGACCTGCCCTGAGAAGACACTGTATTCTACCTCCGATCAGTTAGGGTTTCTATGGTAATGTGATACCAGAACCACGCAACTCTCTTATAAAGGAAAACATTTAATCGAGGAGCTCGCTTATCGCTCAGAGGTTCGGTACAATATCATCATGATGGGACATGGTGGTGTGCAGGCAGACACGGTGCTGGAGAAGCTGAGAGTTCTGTATCTTAGAGCCACAGGCAACGGGAAGTGAACTGAGACACTGGGTGTGACTTCGGCATAGGTTAAATCTCGAAGCCCAGCCTCACGGTGACACACCTCCTCCAGCAAGGCCACGCCTACCCCAGCAAAGCCACACCTCCTAAAAGCGCCACTCCCTATGAGCTCATGGAGACCTATTACATTCAAACTACCACACCTGCCTTCATGTTTCTTTTCCATTTTTAGAGTTTTCAATCTTTAAGGATTTTTTTAAAAATTAGCATGAGGGAAGGGGTTGAGGAGAAGGCTCAGAGATTAAAGCACTAACTGTTCTTCCAGAGGACCCAGGTTTATCTCCCTGCACCCACATAGCAACTCACAACTGTCTGTAACTCCAGGGGATCTGACACCCTCTTCTGACTTCCATAGGCATTACATGAATGTGGTGCACAGACATAAATGCAGGCAAAATGAACAGACACATAAAATAAATAAATCTTGTTTTTAAAGTTAAAAAATATATAAATAAATACAATTAGTATGCATAGTAATGAGTTTCCTTTTTGACATCTTCATACAGGTGTGTGTGTGCACAGACGCACACACGTGCATGCTTCTGTGTGTGCAGGGACACATGTGTGTTCAGATGTACATGCATGTATAGAAGCTGTAGATCAACCTTAGATCAATTCCTCAGAAGCTGTCCTCCTTCCGTTGTGTTCTTGATCTTTAATTGGTTCAATTGTTTCATTGTTGTTATCTTGTATTGTTTGGGAAGGTTTTTTTGTTGCTGTTGTTTGTGTGGTTTTTTTAAAGATTTATTTATGTTTTAGGGTGTCTTGTCTGCAAGTACAACTGCACACCAGAAGGAGGCATCAGACCCCATGGGACTACAGTTACAGAAAGTTGTGAGCCACCGTGTGGTTGCTGGGAATTGAACCCAGGACCTCTAGAAAAGCAGCCAGGACTCTTAACATCTGAGCCGTTTCTCTAACCCTTTGATTTGCCTTTTAGACAGGGTCTCTCTATGTAGTCCTAGCTGCCTAGAACTTGCTACATAGATCAGGATGGCCTGGAACTCAGAGACCCACCTGCCTTGGCCTCCCAAGTGCTGACTGGGATCAAAGGCATGGGCCACTACACTGTGCCTATGAGCCCCACCTCCGTGTGTGTGTGTGTGTGTGTGTGTGTGTGTGTGTGTACCTGCCAGAGGTCAGAGGATAACTCAGTTCTCTCTTTCCACCTTGCTGAGATAGGGTCTCTCAGTTTCTGCCACGCTGCATGCTCTTAGGTTACCTGGCCCATGAACTACAAGGAAATTCTCTTTTCTCCGTGCCCCTTCCCTCCATAGGAGTGCTAGGATTACATATGAACACTAATCCTTTTGACTTTTTTACACAGGTTCTGGTACTGAGCTCAAGTTGTCCCGGTTACAAGGCAAACACTTTTACCCGCCAGACATCTCACAGACCCCACCTTTTCTCTCTCTCTCTCTCTCTCTCTCTCTCTCTCTCTCTCTCTCTCTCTCT